TTTTTTTTTTTTTTTTTATATATATATATCCCTCGTTTCTGATATTTGAAATACCCATGGTTAATAATAAAATATTATATTGATTTGTTTTTGTGAAATTATTTTATTAATCAAAGTTAACTTTTTGATTTCTACATCATTTTGATCAATTTATTATTAAAAGTGAAAAAATATATCATTTCCCTTTTAATATTTTAGTGATGATGACATAGATGAAAATCAAATTAAAATAGCTAATGCCAATCAATCAGATGGCTTTGGAAATAAACTATCTGACCAAAAAAGTAATGATTATGAAGAAAATATCATGACTCAGGCTTTGGAACATAAAAAAGGCTATGTTATGAGAAAATGTTGTAAGGAAGCTAATGGAAAAAAAAGTAGTGACAATCAATTATATTATTGAGAAATTTTTAACATTTAATATTAATCACTTATAGCTGCTAGAGGAAAAAGAGGCTGGAAAATGTATTTTTGTACATTACGTGACCTTATTCTTTACTTACATAAAGATGATTCTGGTTTTAAAAAAACTCAAATTAGCGATAGCATTCATAATGCAATACATATACACCATGCTTTAGCTACTAAAGCTATTGATTATACAAAAAAACAACATGTTTTCAGACTTATTACTGCTGACCAAGCGGAGTATTTGTTTCAAACTAGGTACAGCGAAAAGTAATTTCAATATTTATAAAATATTTTAATTATTCGAATCTTTTATTTTCATTTTAGTGATGCTAAAGAGTTAGATTCCTGGATAAATACAATTAACTTTGTATGTGCTAGTTTTTCTGCACCTAGATTACCAAGTGCTGTGGGAAACCAGAAAAAATTTCAAAGGCCTTTATTACCATCAGCTCCAACAAAATTAAATTTGGTTTGTAATTGAAATATATATTAAATTTTTTGATAGCCAAAAAATATACTGGTAAAAATCAAATATTTTCTTGTTCTTTAAATTAGAGAAAAATTTTCCATTTACTTTTACTTTTAATATTAACTATTAAATGTATTTATATATTTTTAAGAAATTTTACAAGATACTTTACCAATTTTGATTAAGAAAAGAATTATTTGTTAAAACAAAGTTAAAGTATTTTAACAATTTTGTTTATACTTAAATATTTCTTTTTATTATATACCAATTTAATTGAAACTTTAATATTAAAAATTTAACTTACCTATGTGAGGGTAAAAGCAAAACTAGTAAAAGTCAATTTTTTTCAAAATTAATTCCAACTTAAAAAGAAATATTTCAATGCTACATTTATATTAGACCTTATGAGATTCAAATATTTCAAATAACTCTTCTGAAATTTTCCTCTAACCCC